CAGGAGCTGTGTCAGTGATGAGCCCACCAGTTACACTAATGGTTTCCTGCTCTGGGCTGCCAGCCGCCCAGTAGCAAGCCTCATGACCACTGAATTCCTCTCCTGGAATCGATTTAGGGCCCTGCAGAAAAGGATCCTTGCCTCCTGGTTTTCTGAAGCGCTTACTGTACAGCAGGAGAGCTCAAGTTCAGCATATTTATGACGCTCACTCACAGTTCTGTGACTTTCACATTTCTAGCTGCCCCAGGCAGAAGACTCCCAACTAAGAGAAAAGGCATATTGAATATACCTCCACACACGCCTTTATCACAATATTTACATGGCGTCTGCCAAGGGATAGTTTGGTTATACAGCTTCAGCAATATTGTTCTTATCTGACTGAACTACATATATCGAGGGAAACTGAACACCAACACCAGCAGGTGTGACAGATCGTTCATGACCCTAATGAACACAGCACACCTACCTCGATCCCAGGCAAGTAGAGAGAGGTCAATAAATACTTGAATGTTAATTAATGCTAATTAAAGTAGGTCCAGTAGAGGATTATATAAAACTAATTCAGATCTCTACTTGTGAAACTAGTGCTACAAATAGCATTTGTCTCTTCTGGGGGACAAGACAAAGAGCTGAACCACCAAATCATATTGAATCCATTTAATTAAACTTCTTGTATTCAGATTTCCAGGAGCATATAAAACCTTGGAATCTGAGAAACTGGGACTTAGATTTTTTTTTTTAAGATGTTCTTTGACTTGCTTCTCTAATATTCCACAACAAAAAGGCCAATTTTGTGATTCCATAGTTTTCACCTACATTTTCATGATGGCTGGAATTAAAATGAGAATGTACAAATTAAGCATCCACTGCTCCCCGTATGTACAGGTAAGAAAAGGAAGTTATCAAAACAATGGCCATGAGAACACAAGGCTGAAGAAGTGAAAGGATTTTGAGCAAAACAGAGTACATGATCATTGAATAAAAGCTCATCAATATTTGAACAACTTTTTACATGAGGAAAAATTCCATATAAGCTGGCTGACATGTTACCAGTAAAAGCAAAAAAGAAAAAAAAAAGTATTTTCTTTTTCGAGTTTGTGACATCTTAGGTTTATCAGAGTCTGATACTTAAATCATGGAAAAATTCCCAAACAGAAATTTACAGGTTAGCAGGAAAGTCAGCTGGTCCATGATTCTGCACGTGAGTTTAGTGGAAACTAAGGTTACTTTATGTGTTTCAAGAAAATTACAAACTCTAGGGATGCCTAGGTGGCTCAGTCAGTTAAGTGTCTGCCTTCGGCTCTGGTCATGATCCCAGGGTCCTGGGATCGAGCCCCACATCGGGCTCCCTGCTCAGCAGAGAGCCTGCTTCTCCCTCTCCCTGCTGCTCTGCCTACTTCTGCTTGCTATCTCTCTGGCAAATAAATAAAATCTAAAAAATAAAAAAAGAAAATTACATACTCTAACTTCATTGTTAGCTGTATTTGTATTTCAGGAAATGCAGATTCTACCTACAATAACAAGTCTAAGTGGCTACAGATTTGGAAGTGTATGGATGGCAGGAGCAGAAAAGATAAAGTTCCTTCCCCCTTGGAGTGGCTGAGAGCCCACAGACAGACCCCGTGCCCAAAGGCCAAAGGAAAAAAGATCCGAGTCAGGATGGAGAGAAGGAAGTTGATGAGCTCAGAGTGGACAGGAAAAGAAGAACCAGGACTGAAGGAACAACAAGCCAAAGAGCATTTATTAAGTGAAAGAGGCAGACAAGGACAGCGAGAGGGCACATTTTATTATGAAGCTTTTCAAACAGAAAAATTCAAAAAAATAAAACATCAACTAGATTTATCTGCTAGTAACATGGAGCCATATTTTCTTCAGTACCTTTAAGTCCTAAAAATTTTTATATACAGTAGAAAGCCCCCATGTATCCCTTCCCAATGTCCCCCATGAATGTGGTATGAAACTTTCATGCAAGACTTATTTATTTGGGAGGAAGAACTCAGAGGGAAAAATCAAACCGCCCAACCTAATAGAAGAGTGGCTAGCAAACAAGAGTGGCGGCTCGGGAGACAACGCTGCCAATCAAAGCCTCAAGAGGCCATGCTGGAAGGCCGGCCTTCGAGGTCTCCTTTCTCCTAAGTGACCATCTCGGAGAGAAACTGCTTCTGAAAGAGAAGAATCAACCCCCCATTATGCCTTATTTACAAACTCTGTCGCTATAGTTTTTTTTTTTTAAAGATTTTATTTATTTATTTGACAGAGATATCACAAGTAGGCAGAGAGGCAGGCAGAGAGAGAGAGGGAAGCAGGCTCCCTGCTGAGCAGGGAGCCCGATTCGGGGCTTGATCCCAGGACCCCAGGATCATGACCTGAGCCGAAGGCAGAGGCTTTAACCCACTGAGCCACCCAGACGCCCCTAGTTCTTACTTTCTATCTTAAGTGCAAGCAAACCCAACAGTCACTTTGAACTGAAAGTAACACATTCACGTAATTCACCCCCCCAAGAGCTACGCATGCAAGTTAGCTACAACCATTTGTACTCCCCTCGCCAAATGTGAAACACAGCCGCACTCTCCTTCAGATGGAAAACGTTCTATTAACGTGTGTGCTGAAGTACTTGTTTATCATGTCTGAGCCCCAGGTAACAGCTTTCTGTTGTCATCACCATACCACTCCTAGTGGGGCCATTTTACGGTTATTAACAGATTCGAACACTTACATTTGAAATGTATTTTCTCTGTATCCAGGAAGAACAATTTAAGAGGGTACATATTCAACTACACTTTCACCAAAATGAAGCAGATATGCTTAAACAAGCATGTATGTAATTTTTTCTAATATAATCCCTTGGGGTTCCATGCCTTCCAGAACTGATCTAAGGACACTGTAGCAAAGAGAGCAGCGTGGGGTCTAAGACCTGGTTCCCTGTGTTGGGGGGGCAGGGGAAGAGAGAGAGAGAGAGAGAGAGATCTGGTGCAGCCATGCAACCTCTCAGAGTCTCCGCCTCATCTATAAAATGGGGTCTGGGGGCGCCTGGGTGGCTCAGTGGGTTAAAGCCTCTGCCTTCGACTGGGATCTTGATCCCGGGGTCCTGGGATCGAGCCCCACATCGGGCTCTCTGCTCAGCGGGGAGCCTGCTTCTCCCTCTCTCTCTGCCTGCCTCTCTGCCTACATGTGATCTCTGTCAAATAAATGAATAAAATCTTAAAAAAAAATAAATAAAATGGGGTCTGCTTTCTTCTCAGGGGTATTGTAATGATCGAATATGTGACTAGATGTTCAAATGCTTTTAAAATAATATATAGGGTGTTTTGCTGTATTTAAATGTGGATAAAATATGTATTCCCACAGGAAAGGAAATGCTAGTTCAACTACTATGCTTTAAATCAAGTGGTTTTTTTTTTTTTTAAAGCAAGCTCTTCAACCTATGTGGAAACAAAAGAAAATCCAGCTTTCATCTTGTGAGAGCACTTTCAAAACCCTTATGAAAAAGACACAAATAAAAATTATGATGATTTGGCACTAGAACTAAATTCCAGAAGTTCATGTCATTGCATGTCCCTTAATCTATGAAGTTATTATTAAGATTTTACCTTTTAAATTTTTAACTTTATGATTTTAAACTCAAGCACACAAGACAGCAGTCAGTATTGAAACTGAATGCGTCAACAAGGACTAAAGGTTGTAACTAACAATGTAAGTCATCCCTTATTAGAAATAACACAAAACTTGCAAAGAAAACCCATCAGGAGGCTCAGAACTGTTGCTCCAGTGTTAGGGACCCTCCGAACTCAGCTGTACTTTCTTAGAAACAACAATACGCTTGTGCCTGACGGCGTGGAGAAGACGGACACTGCAAGCACCTGCTTGCTAGCTCCCGTGCCCGCCAACAGAGGGCGGTACCGTCCAGAGCGGTAAGTGGGCTCTGCAAGTGGGCTCACAGGCAGGGCTTCATTCAGCCAAGAGTGCACAGAGGAACTAAATCAAAAGACCCCCTGCTTTTGGCTGGAATTATATCAATTAGACAAAGCAGGAAGGACAATTTCTTTTCAATCAAATTCTAATTGGCTACTGACCACGAAGTACTTTCTGAGCTCTATCTTGGAACAAAGCATCCCAGACAGTAAAACAGCGGGACAACTGTTGTTTACAACTCAAGAGTGATGGTCTGTAAGCACTAGAATCACCACGGCCAAAGCAGAGGAGGTTTCGTTTGGAAATGAAATACACTATCAGTGCAGCCCATTTTCCATTCTTGGCCCCTTAGTGCTCTTCACCAAAAGTGCTAAACAGGGGCACCTGGATTAAGTGCCCGACTCTTGGTTTTGGCTCAAGTCATGATCTCAGGGTTTAAGATCAAGCCCTGTGTTGGGCTCTGCACTCAGTGGGGAGTTTTCTTGAGATTCTCTCCCTCTCCCTCTGATCCTCCCTATTCCACTTCTGTGTGCTCTCTCTCTCCAATAAATAAATCTGCCCCAAATCTTTGGGCACCTAGGTGGCTCAAGGGGGTAAGCCTCTGCCTTCTGCTCAGGTCATGATCCTGGGCTCCTGGGATCGAGCCCTGCATCAGGCTCTCTGCTCAGCAGGGAGACTGCTTCCCCCTCTCTCTGCCTGCCTCTCTGTATTCTTGTGATCTCTGTCTGTCAGATAAATAAATAAAATCTTTAAAAAAAAAATTTCACATGCAGACACAAAGAATTTGAGGCAAAACTTTATCTCACAACAATTTTTACAAGTCCCTCCATGTTATCAATAACATGACCGCTCAGGACCAAACAACAGTAAGGTGAGTCGTTGCACCCTGAACACCCCAGACTCGGTCCCATTAGCAGAGCCAAAGTAAGATGATTGAATTAAACCCAGCAAGACAGCAAAAACATTACAACTAGACCTCAGATCACCAGATCACAAAATAAAGAACACATCATCAGTTCTACCCCAACATGCCTAGAGATGTTCTGGTGATGGTTACAGAAGCGGTGAAAACATCAAGTTTAACTTACTTAACTTTTTAACAATTTTTTCATTTCAATAAATTTATTTTGATTGGTTGGATTGTTTAAGAGGAAGAGAAGAATCTGTTCATGTTTTTCAACCTACGGGTGAAGAAAAAATAGCATTATTTCATTTCTAAAAATGTAAGGAGTACAATTTCACTTCAAGGAAATTCTACCCACTTGTTTCTGTAACTCTGTGCAACAGCAATTCATCCTGCAGGTCTTTTCTAGAAGCAAATACAAAAAGCCATTAGAGAATATACACCATAAGTAACAAACAGAGGAATCTGACTATACACAGCTCTGCCTCTGAGGTGTGGGTTCTAACTATGAAAGACTTGATCGATTACCTTCTCATTTGGGTTTTAGTATTTCCTACTACTGCACCCTGAGTTTTACCAAATTAATGCCCCCATCTCCAAGATTTTAGGACTTTTGCCTATCAAAAATGGGGTTATCTCTTCGGCCAACCGAGGGCCTGCCAAATAATCATCTTATGAGATATCTGTAAGATCCAATCTCAAAAACACAAACTCTTCACTTTGCTCAGGATTGAAAGTAAGTTGGAAGTAATTTTGAGTACTAGCCATTTCTAAAGCTCTCAGTATCAATGCTATCACTAATGTGATCAGAAATGCTGGGACGCCTGTGTGGCTCAGCTGCTTAAGCGGCTGCCTTCGGCTCAGGTCATGATCCCAGCGTCCTGGGATCGAGTCCCACATCGGGCTCCTTGCTCGGAGGGGAGCCTGCTTCTCCCTCTGCCTCTGCCTGCCACTCTTTCTGCCTGTGCTCATTCTCTCTGACAAATAAATAAATAAAATCTTAAAAAAAAAAAAAATGCTGCTGAGGCTAAGCTAAGGAAAATCTGGCCTGAGAGGCCTGCTTCTATCCAGTGGGTCCCCTGAGGTGGCAATGTGAGTCGCACCTTGCCGCTGGATTTGCAAAGGGGGAGAACAAAGGGAACATGACCACAGAGAGTAAGGAAAAGCCAGGTCACCTACATTGATTACATCTGTTCTTAATTACACTTACGTCTGTCATTAATTAAACTTGAAAAAATACCTGTACTTAAAGCACTTTGCTTTTTAGATGTGATGTTTTTAGCCAGACCATAGGTCACCAGCTTTTCAGCTATATTGATAGTTCCATTTTCAGAACATTTCTCAACCAACACTGTATGGACATTCTTGATAACTCCTTTTACAGAAAGCATCACGCTCTGATTCAACATGAAATTTTTTAGTAGTTCTACGATTAATTGAGAGCAGCTTCCATTCAATTCCATTAGTCCTGGGAAAACAACTGAATATTAATCTTCGAGTCCCTTAAAACAAGATAAATATTCACATATATCGTCTAAAGACAATAAACGAAAGTCTTACTTTCTTTGGCTGGGCTTAGGTATGCTCTGATGTACTACTGTTGTTGCATTTAAAAAAATCACTCAACAGATACTCCCTGACCCCTATTATGTGTCAAACACTAATCTAGGTCGAGAGGGCGTAAACAGACAATGGCCAGCTGCCATGGACATGTGTCCATTATAACAGGAGAAGCAAACAATAAAATGTTTCAACTCTCTCCCCGAGTCAAAACCAAAGCAGACTATGAGGCACTGAGTAAGCGCTCATCTGCTGGGACCACTAGGTAATGAAATCACAAGTAAGGGTGAAAAGCTACTTTAGCATTTTATTCAAACACCAGCTGAAGAACTGAACTTGTGAAGATACAGTACACAGTAAAGAAGTCCCAAATGGTGTCATCTCAAGCCTCTCAAGAAAGCGCCGTGACAGAATGGAGGGGCCTTTAGGGAAGGGTCAGACAGCCCAGGTCCCCCAGCCCTGGCCACTTCAGCGGTGCAACCTGTGGCCAAACCTAATCTCCAAACAACAATGGGCTGACAATGTAATTTTTTGAGAATGAAATAAAGGATGAAACATAGGTTTTTTTTTTTTCCCTAAACTCTGTTTGATATTTAGAAATCTAGGCAGTTACTGAAATGCCCATTTGATTCAGACATAGGGCTATAAAACAGGAGAAAAAAAATCACACAGCTATCCCAATTGCAAAGTGACTTGACTACCTTCAAGCGAACATTTAATAATTTGGAAAGGAAGCTCCAGGTGGCTGGTGGAAATTGGCTGCACTCTGGAAAGAGGCAGAATTTCAGTGTTCCCATAGTCTGCATAGAGTACTTTCACATCAGCATCTGATGTCCCCAGAACAATGGCACGGTACCAGAAGTCGTCACCTGAAAATATAACGCAACCTCACGTGAGAAGTTACATGCAATGACTCCCTCCCTCCCTTCAAGACAGTTATTCACAGTTACATTTACATTAGTGAGAAATTCATGCCAACACTTCTGGTTAGAGTCCAGATAAAGCCAAAGTATCACCTCCACTCCTTCCAGATCCTACTAAAAAGACAATTATGTGAATAAAAAGAAAAAGGCACAGAACCACAAGGAGAGAGGACGAGAGAGAAAAAAAGATGATATTGGAAGCTGGAAAGCAGATGGTAGGAATGGAAATGGTTTAGCAGAGCTCAACCAAAGCTGGCTACGGGGAAGCAAAGCAGCATCTTTCTTTGCATCTTAAATCCCCAAGCCCCAATAATCAACGCATTCCAAAGTAGTAGTAAGAATAGAGCTGAAATGAGGACTGGGTAAAGAAAACACACTTATTTCCCAAGAAAACTGAATAAACTTTAGTTTACAAACAAATTTACACATAATACTTATTTCTAAAGTTGCTGAAGAAGATGGTCAGTTTTATGGTCATGTGTTTTAATATAAAAGCTAAGAATGCCATCCCCATTTCAAGGCATCTGCTCCTACTCAAGGGCAGAAGACTGGAGGTTTCTTCTCCAGAGAGGATGAACCAGACAGACGACTGGACTCAGGAATATGACGCAGCGCAAAGGAAGCTGACCAAGAACACTGTCGGACCAGCTGTGCACACAGCAGCAGATAACCATTCCAAGGCAAATGCACTTCAAGATAGCAACAGCTGGAGTCCCCAGGGTAATAGCAGGGCCCAGCAGTGAAGGCCACCTACACAAGTTCTGCCCACAAAGCAGCTTCCAATCAATGCCTAAGTGCCCAGTCCTAAGTGAACAGTGAAGGATCACCAGACATTTTTTTTAAAAGATTTTATTTATTTGACAGACAAAGATCACAAGTAGGCAGAGAGGCAGGCAGAGAGAGAGAGACGGAAGCAGACTCCCCACTGAGCAGTGAGCCCGACGCAGGGCTTGATCCCAGGACCCCAGGATCATGACCTGAGCCAAAGGCAGAGGCTTTAACCCACTGAGCCACCCAGGCGCCCCGAATCACCAGACATTTGAAGAAAGCTTCCAGCAGAGAAGACTAAACCGAACAGGAACTCAGAGAAACAGGGAGAAGACAGGACAGTTAGAAGAAGGATATTAGCATTCCCAGACAAACTGCCTTCCATCCTTGAAATGAGAGCAAGTCAGTATCAAAGACACACACACTTGAAAAGACAAACAGAAAAGCTATTAAAACCAGAAATGGTATCAGAAATGAAACAATATACTGGAAAATAAAACTGAGGAAATCTCCTGAAAAAAGAAGTAAAAAAGGTAAAAGAGAAAAGAGGAAACTTAGCAGAAGAGTTTCAAGTTCAATATTAGATTATTTGGAGTTCCTGGGGGACCTGGGTAGCTCACTCAGTTAAGGGTCTGACTCCTGATTTTTTCTTTTTTTAAGATTTTATTTATCTATTTGACAGAGAGGGAGAGATCACACGTAGGCAGAGAGGCAGGCAGAGAGAGAGGGGGAAGCAGGCTCCCTGCTGAGCGGAGAGCCTGATGTGGGGCTCGATCCCAGGACCCTGAGATCATGACCTGAGCCACCCAGGCGCCCCCTGACTCTTGATTTTTAACTCAGGTCATAATTTCAGTGTCTTGAGATCGAGCCCCACGTGGGACTCTATGCTCAGTGGGGAACTGGCACGAGATTCTCTCTTCTCCCTCTCCCCCCTCTAAAATAAATAAATCTTTACAAAAAATATTTGGAGTTTCTAACAGAGCAGAAAATGAAAGATGGGAATAAAAAACATTCAGAAAACTTTCTCAAAACTGAATCTCATCAATTCCTAAAGGGCCCACCCATTAAAAGTGTCCAACACAATGGTAAAAACTAAAACCAAGTCACAGCATGGATTTCAAAACATGGAATGAAGAGATTCCTAAAAGTTCCAGAGAGGAGAAAAAATACAAAGTGTGGAGGATCTAAATGACCTCTCTTTTGACCCGCAACATCAACAGCTTTTAAAAAACAATAAAAGCGGGGCGCCCCGATGGCTCAGTTGGTGAGGCTTGAGACTCTCAATGTCTCGGCTGTGACTTCGAACCCCGTGCTGGAGGTAGAGAGTACTTAATAAAAAAATTGTTTTAAAAGCAAAATTTTAAGGGAAAGATGATTTCCAGTTTAGTATTCTGTATCTAGGCAAGGAATTAATTAACTATTAAGACAGAATAAAGACTTTTTCAAACATGGGAGAACATGGGAAAATAACAGAAGATTTATCTGAAACATACCTTTTCTTAGCTTCTGGAGGATGGGATATACCCAATTATTAGAACAAATCCAAAGTAAGTATTGCAGAAAACAAGGTGAGATGAGGAAGGAAGAAACTGTGAAAACATAGTGGGATGGGAGAGAAAACTGTGAAACACGAGGGAGTGGTGTTGGAACAACCCCAGCAAGATGATGAAGGAAAACTTCCAGGGCGATGGCTCACATCTGGGGACAAGCAGTCTGGCTAGCAGGTCAGAAGGCAGCAAGCGCTGGCAATGTAACAAAAGCTGATAAAGTACATGAGGTTTCACTGGGAGAATCTGCACCAATGCAGAGAACTGAAAGTATACAGGACACTAATAACGACAACAAAAAAGGCAAAAGAGATATGTCACCGTGTATCTCCTATGTCGTAGTGGACCACAGGACTAGGCTGTGAATAGTGTTTATGCAATTCCAACAGAGTAACAGAGAATACTTATCTAACCAAAAGCTGTGACATATTTCTATCAGGAAGAAAGGGAGGGAAAGTATAGATCCCATTATCATACAAAAGAAAAACAGGGGCGCCTGGGTGGCTCAGTGGGTTAAAGCCTCTGCCTTCAGCTCAGGTCATGGTCTCAGGGTCCTGGCATTGGGCCCCACATGGGGCTCTCTGCTCAGGGGGGAGCCTGCTTCCTCTTCTCTCTCTGCCTGCCTCTCTGCCTACTTGTGATCTCTCGCTGTCAAAATAAATAAATAAAATAAAAGAAAAAGAAAAACAAAACTAAACAGAATATATTTAACTGCAAATCTAAATTTAAATTATTTTAAATGAACTGTATGTGGGTAATAGTCCAAAAGCATTTTAAATATGTTGGTGGCAAGATGAAGATGAAATTGGCCCACTCACAAACTTTTGGCACATAACGGACATCTCTTTAAGATGCCCACAGAGCAGTATGTTTCCAGAACTTACAATTTATATCCTTTGACTCAGGAATTCCCTAAATTTCTGCCCAAGAATATTCACTCCAACTGTTGTTATTACTAAAATAAATTTGTTAACATGAATTATTAAACAACAGGACAATGGTTAAGTGTATCTGATTCAACAAGTCTGACTAATTAAGGCATTTATTCCTTTTTGAGTACATTAATAAAGTTCTAAAATTATCTGCAACTCCTCCATATATAAATATGTTAAGGGCCACCATATTCAGTAGAGTTATCTAGAGCTGATTACGTCAAAGTTCTAACAGATTTGTAGATATCTCCCTATACCCTTACCTAAATATAATCTATGGTTACAAAACAGAAAAGCTGGAGGACCCCAATATGAAGAGTTAAACCTACAAACTTGCTTTTAATTTCATAAGCAAAATTAAATGTGCACCTTATATAACAAAATACACAAGATTTCAAGTAAAAGAGAACAAACATTTCCTGTTTAATGTTTTATCTAAAAGAAGCTTACTTGTGTATTTGGCACAGCACGCATCTCCGATTTTGGGTCTGTAAGACACTTGGCTTTTCTGAGTATTGCAATATTCTAACAATTCAGCTGTCAATATACACAATCTTTCCTGATCTTCTGAAACATAAAAAAGCAATCTTTTGTGAAGAAATTTTCAATGCTACTGTTTAGACAGTATACAAAAACAGTGTCAAATTGAATCACTGAAAAAAAACCATTTACATTTATGTTTTAAGAACACATAAAACCACGAGTGGTTACTCTGTACATAAGAGATCTAATACTCAGAGAAGGAAGCTTCTGGAAAGCTATTTTCTAGATCAGGGTGGTTATACTAGTGTGCTCACACTACAGAACCTTGTTAAATCATACTTTCACAGTTTTTTGGCATACTTTTCAGGAAGCGTGTTACAGTTAATAAGAAAAAGTACTTCCAGTTCATCAGGATTCATTAACCCGAAGTCCCTGCTTTCCACTACACAGACTGAAGATGACGGTTTATAATATTAGAGATGTAAGAGCAATTGTTGGTATCACCATAATTTGTGGTTTGACAACCTGAAACAAAGGTTCACTTTCGTAGCCTTCACGTACCTGCCGTTGTTCTGAATAGCTATCACCCAGCTTGCCCTAACTCTCCCTGACACTACAAGGATAAACTCAAACATGTTCAAGAGATTTCTTAATTATAAACTTCCATGAAGTAAGGAAACATTTATATGCTACTTTTCTTCAGGATTAGGTCCAGTATAAAACATTTCTCTAAGTTCCTAAGCCATAGTAACAGTGATTATAGACTGACTTATAAAGCACTCTCAATATTAACAGGTTTTCTCAAAAAGTTGTAGACAGTTAGCTTTGTAAGTGCAATTCAATATACATAGTACCTATTTTTTTGTGATAGTATCTATTTTTAAACAACAAAGTATACAGCAATTAAGGAAACTACTTTCTTATAAAAAGCTGTAGATTAGACTGCATCCGGAAGGTGTTAAATGCAGGGTGTTTCCCTTCACATTTATTTTACATTTATTTGTATAACTAAATACCCCTGAAGTGTTATGATGGCCAATTCTTCCTTAAAACATTGAATAAAACAAAAATCACCAGCCTCCCCTTCTCTCCCACTTCTAAGGAGTTCAGAGAAGAGCTTTCATTACACAGTTAAAAAGATGAGCATAAATAGGTCTCAAATTTTGGTTTCTTACCTGGCATCTCATTTGGTAGAGCATAGAACAAGTGTGGGCTTATGATTTCCAATATGGTTGCTTGTACAGTTTTATTAACTGGCAATTCTATTGTCCTCCACTGCTCAGGGAAAGAAATGGCTGAAATCATACAAAACAGATCTTGTATAAAACAGATCAAAGTTGTTATTCTCTCTCAGTTTTATCTTTATTCAATTTATTCATCAACTGAATCAACATTCACAAATCCCTAAAATGAAAATCTGTATTTTCACAAAACAATCTATTCAGTTTGAGGGACTCTGTGTTACAAAGGAGTCCAATCTAGAATGAGAATCTTTGACCTGCTGCACTCCTGTATTATTTCTGTAATATATTTCCATTTCCATAGTATAGTTAATGTAAATCTTATAACTGGTTCACACTGTAGAGAATATATAACTGTACGATGCAAAACTACCTGATAAATAACTACGATAAAAATGAGTAGTTTTTAATAAAACCATGTTTCAATAAATACTATTTTTTTAAAAGATTTATTTATAAGAGAGAGAGTGTTTGCATGAGCAGTGGGGGTAGAAGACGAGATGGAGACAGAGAATCAGAAGCAGACTCCACACCGAGCTGGGAGCCCGAAGCAGGATTCAATCTCACCACCCTGAGGTCTCTCACCACCTGAGGTGAAACCAAGAGTCAGGACGCTCAACTGATTGCTCCCTCGAGGCATCCCAATAAATACTAATTTTAGTAACTTGTTACCTATTTCCACAAAGTATGTATTCCTACAGAAAAACTGCTAGAAAAATTTTCATAGCCTATAAAAGCAAAGGATAACATAAATTTAAATAACAAATCAATGGTTTAAGCACATTACCTTGAAGCTCCAGGATATCAACTTGAAGATCACATTTACTAATGGCTCTATTATTTGTCAAGTCTCTGAGTGGCGAACTAGTTTTTAAAACCAGATGTTCATCAATCAAAACATCACTAATTATTCTGGGATATGATGTGGAGAGATCAGTGAGCTCGATTCCCACTCCCTGTCCGTTGATTTCAACCACTCGGGCTTGGAGTTTTATCCCTGCAACGCACGTCTGAAATCTGGCTATGGCTTCTTCAGTCCAGTGCTTGTTTCTAGGCTGTATATCTGGCAAATAAGAAGAGCATTAAAAAGAATTCTGTGCCCAAGCTTCATTTTTTGCTTCAATAGTGTCCGGGACTGGTCCTTGTCAAGTGTTGCATTTGGGTCAGCGATTTTGAGTACCGTTTTTCAATGCTGAATTACATTTCTACATCTTCCATGCAGGATTACAGATAACATACCACTAGGGTTTTAGGAGGCTCAGAAATTTTCCTTATTTTTCCCACTAATATATCTTTACCAGGCATTTTTCCAGTAGGCAAAAATAGGATTAGAAGCCACCATTTTGTACTGTTATGTATATGATGATGAGTTACTAATTATGCTGGCAGAAGAGCTCAACCATACACCTTCACTTCTGTGGACAGTTTTCTAATGCTTATTTCAAAATGTTATTTTGAACAGCTCACCAAGAATTATTTTTTGGATAATTTTGGCTTATACCCTTATTTTTAGAACAGTAATCCTCAAACTTGAGTGTGCATCTGAATTACCTAGAGGGCTAATTAAAACAGATTTCAGGGCCACATGCTAGAATTTCCAATTTAGCAGATCTTCGTTAGGGACTGAGAATCTGCAGTTTAAAGAAGTTCTCAAGTTGATGCTGCTTGTCTGGTGGCCACATACTTTTTTTTTAAAGATTTTATTCATTTATTTGACACAGAGAGAGAGAGAGCCCACAAGCAGGGGGAGTGGCAGGCAGAGGGAAAGGGAGAAGCGGGCTCCTTGCAAAGCAGGGGGAGTCCAACATGGCCTCCATCTCAGAACTCTGGGATCTTGACCCAAGCCTAAGGCCATTACCTAACTGACTGAGCCACCCAGGCACCCTGGGCTTCACATTTTAAGAAGCATGGACATAAAGCATGATAATCAAAAAATAAACTGAAACATGTTTAGTGTAGTAAGCAGAAAGAAAACATGCCAAAGGAAAAATAAAGAGCATCTACACTGCCAGACATGAGCACTATTAACATTTTGATATCCAACCTTCCATAATTTTCATGTGCATATGGAAAGACCCACATGCACTTATGTACTCATTTCTTTTATAAAGAAACCTTTGCAATAGTAATAGCTCTTATGGATATAATGCCAGGTAGTGTTAAGTGCTTTATATTTTTCATCTCTTTTATTCTTAATGACTCTTCGAGGAAGATACTATTATTTTCCAGATGAGTAAATAGAAGCACTGAGAGTCTGAATCATTTGCCTAAGATTCTCACAGTAGATGGCAGAGTTGGTTCCAGAGTCTGTCCTTGTAATCACAATGCCATCCTGAATCTCCTTTATAACTTGCATGCTTTATGTACCTCGTTAACCATTCTTCATATTAATAGCTCATGGTTAACATCACTTTAATGACTGTGTGGTAAAGGGAAACACTTAAACCGAACTTTGCACGTCAGAAAAATTCTAAGTGTACATTTAATCCTCATAACAACGAACCGAAATAGGTACTATTACTGTCAATTGTACAAACCGTCATTTAACCAATCCTCTGTAACTGGCTAGTTAGCTGGTTTTGCTATTACTAACAGCAGCATAATGAATTTCCTTGTAGACAAACTGTGAAATTCCAAGATCATTTCTTTGCAATAAATTATTACAGGTGAAAATGCTGAGACAAAAAGGCAGAAATATTTGAAGCTCTTAAGAAATCCTGCAAAATGCCTTCAACAGAACACATTAGTTTTCGCTCCCATCTCAGGCACAGAAAAGCAGCTGCTTCCTTACTTTAACATCAACACTGAATATTTCAGCCAGGATCTTCAAAAATACATTTCTAAATTGTATAATATGAAGCAAGACCTTCTAATTCACACATTAAAATTATAGGTGTTGGTATTTTAAAGTATGTATATCGTAAGTATTAGAAGACAGTTGAGAAAGTTTCTTATTCTGCACCATACCTACTAACCAGCACCGTATCCCTTGAAATGGAAGTTTTAAAAATTTGGATGGGATCATTCGGAGTTCATCTGCAGTAACTTCTTCCATGTTCCCATAATCCACAAAATGGACTTTAATGTTTCCATCCAGTAAGATTTCCTTGACTAAGGCACGATACCAGTTACCATCACCTATATTTAACACAAAGTTTGAACATGGAGCATTATTTCCCTTCTATTAACATTTGAAACTTTCATCTTCAAAAAACAAATCCTTTGTCTAAAGTAACTAAATAAATTTGCTCTCTTAATCCCCAGAATTCTCAAAATCCACTTTTTGGAATACATCCAAAATGTTTATAGCACCACACTTAAACATCGGATGTAAATTAAAGATTTCATTCATCACCTATCCAATAAACAGAATGTGAAAGTGAAGAGAAGACTTCATAACTTCTCTTCACTTTCACATTCTGTTTATTGGAACGTATCTGTCAATCTGGAAAGATTACAATACTCTCATAACTAAGGACAAATTGTTTTACTTGTTATTAGTAAAGTAATGTAAAAAGCAAATAGAAAAACTCATGCAATGAAATTAAGGTGTTTCACAAAATATACTTTCAAACTAAACATGCACAGGGTGACCAGAAGAAACAATTAACCTTCAGTGAACAGGTTTCCCAATACCTAATTTACTTTAATATCAGAAATTCTGGAATGAAAAGCATTTAGCAAAGTTTAACAAAGTTGAGGTAAGAAAGTTTCATTTGGATTTTCCTTGCTACAAAGAGAAGACAAAACATGAGATTTTAAGCATTCATTTAGTCTTGATTTTGAGAAATATTTGCTTAAACATCAGGAAGAAAATACACATTAAAAATAAGGGCTGAATGGGGGCGCCTGGGTGGCTCGGTCGTTAAGCCGCTGCCTTCTGCTCAGGTCATGATCCCAGCGTCCTAGGATCGAGCCCCGCATCAGGCTCCCTGCTCAGAGCTGGGGTGGGGGGAGCCTGCTTCTCCCTCTGCCCACTCCCCCTATTTGGATTCCCTCTCTCACTGTCTCTCTGTCAAATAAAGAAATAAAATCTTAAAAAAAAAAAATAAGGGCTGAATGTCAAGAAGCAAAAGTCTCTATCAATGAAGTGAAGATTCTATCAACTGCAACTTACCTGCAAAAAAAGCACAACACGGTTGCCCTACTTCTGCCTTAAAGTCACTGGGCACCTTCTGCTGGCAATATTCTGCTAATGACTTGTTCAAATCATTGAGTTTCTTTAAAGCTGAAAACACAATACATATACAGCACTCAATATTCAGAAAGCATGCAGAATACAGCTTTTCCTCTAAAGTTGGGAAATGTTTTGATCATAAAATCTCAGGTACAGGGGTGCCTGGGTGGCTCAGTGGGTTAAGCCTCTGCCTTTGGCTCAGGTCATGATCTCAGGGTCCTGGGATCGAGCCCCACATCAGGCTCTCTGCTCAGCGGGAAGCCTGCTTCCCCCTCTCTCCCTGCCTGCCTCTCTGCCTACTTGTGATCTCTGTCAAATAAATAAATATAATCTTAAAAAAAAAATCTCAGGTACATTCCCAAGCAACTGTTAAGTGCACATCAGATGCTTTTCTCTTTTCCTTACTAAAAAGTTAATTGGGAAAATAAGTCGTGATTAGTGAAGACTCGCGGTAACCCCCTACTATGGCACTGTTATCAGCATCCCAGAGCACGAGCTTTGTGAGTACAAGCCTGTACAGAAAGTGACATACAAGCTGTCCTAAAGGAGGGCACAGAAGTGCTGAGAAGATGCAGAGACGTCTGCTAAGGAAACAGAGAGGTGAGCTGTGTGTGCTCCTTAAGCTTTTAGAGAGAAAGAGGACAGACAAGGAAAGGGTGACTACAGAAGGAAGAAAGGGCTCTGAGGCAAAGTACAGAATTAAGCCTGCAAAACTTATTTGGCAGGAGCAGTATGGAAAACCAGGGAAGGTAAACCACTGAAGGACACACCAGCCATGTGCTGGGCAAGATACAAACCATGGATGGCTTTAAAATGCTGAGGGGCACCTAGGTGGCTCAGTGAAGCGTCCAACTCTTGATTTCGGCTCAGGTCATGATCTCAGAGTCCTGAAATGGAGCCCCAAATCTGGCTCCCCGCTCAGCAGGGAGGCTGCTTCTCTCCCTCTCCCTCCCCACCCTCCTTCCTCTGCAAACCCTCCCCCACCAGCTCTCTTTCTCAAAATAAATAAATAGATCTTTAAGGAAAAAAAGAAGAAGAAGAAAAGACTATGTGAACTTATCAGTCCAAGACCTAGTGGAAAATAGAAGCTGCAAAAATCATTTAAAGTATTTTACCATTTATGCCTACACAAACAGGGATATATCCACACAAGCTTATGCACAGAAAAGAACCTTATTATTATTTACTTATTCTGAAAGATTTAGAAAATTGAGAGAGGGACTGGGAAACTTACTTCCCACTATACATTCTTTTAAACTTTTATTTTGTACCATGTGCTTGTATAATCACCTATAAAAATAAAAACTGACTTTAAAAATTTTTAATTTTATGCTATATGAAATAGTGGTCCATCTACCAGATGATTCTGGAAGGAGGGATGACAATTCTCACAAACTGGGAGCCAGACAGGGACTCAGGTACCTAGTTCAATGTCCTCATTTGACAGAGAAGCAAGCCAAGATTTTAGAAATGTTAAAATTAAGGATGCTCTCAATGATAGCTCAAATGAAAAAGAAGGAAAATACAAGTGTGAGGATGTGGAGCGACTAAAACTCAAACTGACAGCTGTCATAATCACTTTGGAAACTTTGTAGCATTCATTGATCAAAGCTGAAAATATAAATACCCTTAGGATATAGTCAGCAATTTCCTTCCTGGTATACATTCAAAAGCAGCACACATCCGTGTGCACCAAATCTGTATGGAAATGTTCACGCCAATACCATTCTATAGCTCAGAACTAAAAACAACCTACATGTTCAGCCCTATAAAGAAAGAGATCTGGAGTGTCATTCACACAGTGGACCACAAGCTACTGCTACATGTAAAAACGAAGAACTGATCTCACAAACAACGTGAAAAAAAATGGCAAGTGTACGAGTGTACATATTGTATGATTACATTTCATAAAATAAAGTTCAAAACCAGGAAAACTACGCTATTGGAAGGCAGGACAGTATTTACTTTTTAAGAGAGAAGGGGTAGTAATCAAAGGAGACATGGAGGAAACTTCTGGATGACTGGTAATGCTTCATTATCTTGACCTAGATGTCACTCAGTGTTTTGACTTTGTGATGACGTGTCAATGCTGCAATATTTGTGCACTTACATATATGCATGTCATGCTTTAATAAAATCTACCATTTAATTTTCAAAAATAAATTTAGAAAATTTATTGGTTTAAATAGATTTTTAAAAACAGAAACAGTGGCTTAAAATGGAATAAAAAACAATTAAATTTAATTAAATCTTTCTTATTAGTAGAAATACTGCCTTGGCCCTTCTTGGAAAGACAGTACTTCTATTATTGAGTGAACTCCTCTTCAGTTATTACCACACCAATGTATCTGTAAGGGAAATAGATGAGAAGAGTCCACTTACCATCCTCTTGAAGCACATGGCAGTAAAATTCTCCAGGACTGTACATCATACAGACCACAACATCTACTGTTTGGTCAACAGCCATTTCAACCCATGTCCACTCCAATGAATTTAGTTTTGCTTCTATACCCAAGGCAACTGCGAAAAAAAAAAAAATTAACTTTTTCAAAACAAATGGTCAAAGTGTGGATGGGAGGTACGGCTGGTGAGGGATCTATTTTGAGGAAGTGAATTTCCAGGGACTTTTAGTGACATCTGCCAGTGACCCCCAGGTTTTGTTTCTTTTTTTTTTTTTCAGTTTTCCTACACACTCATACTGTATCTAAATGAATGCTTGATTTGAAAAGAAAGAAGACACTCAACATCATTCTTTTTGAAAGCATGGGAACCCCCCCCCCTCCACAAGCCATCGGGATTCCAGCATGGACATGATTGAGCAGACATCTTACTCACCGCTGGCTTCCTTCGCGACACTGGGTTTCTCCGCCAGCACCCCCGCCTCCCGGACGGCAAAGCCGGCGTCCCTGAGCGCCTGCGCAATGCTGACGTGAGGCGTCACGGATTCGTCCACGAGCTCCACCAGGGAGCTGTTCTCCAGCTTGTCGGCCACTTTCACCGTGATCATTTTGTTCTGCACAATCTTCTTCATCAAAGAAATAGCTTCTGGAGTCCAAATTCCTAATGATGGCTTTACTCCTATCAAAAAATGTTTAAAAGAATATTAAAATACTTCTTATAACAAGCATTTATAAAGTTTAGCTTTTAATTTCCTCAAAGTTAAATTTAAGGAACGTGACAAACACGAGAGCCAAAACGTCCCGCCTGAGCAGAAGGATTTTCTAATATTAAAACAAAGGCAAAATTATAAAGAAAAAAAAAAGCCTATAGAAAACTGCTCTACCTCTATGTAAACAAACCATAATTCCATTGATATGAAATGTCCAGAAAAGCATATCTCGAAGACAGATTAGTGATTCCAGGGGAGCTGGGATTAACCACTGACACGCACAAGAAACCTCATCAGGGTGCTGTCTATATAACTCAGTAAATTACTAAAAATCACGAAATTGTATACCTAAGACTGAGAATTTAGTGGTATGTAAATTATATCTCAACAAGTTAAGAAAGCCATAAACAAAAGTATCCAACAATCCAGGAAGAAATACTGCTCCCTTACAATGACATAAAAAAACCACCAGCAGTACTTAAACTGCAAAGGCACTTGCAAATCAACAACCCAATGTTATGCCTAGCCTTCTCATAAGAGCAAGTAATGTATGGGAAAAAAAGTTCAGCCTCATGGTAATAAAGTAATTAAAATTACTTAAATTTACTTAAAATTTACTTAAAATTACTTAAAATTAAAATGATTTAGTTTTAACTTATCAAAACTGGCCAACATGAAATAATAGAGAGGTATCTCTATTTGGTGCACCGTGTGAAGGAATGGGCTCCCCTGCTGTCTTTCCGGTAGGTGTGTAAACTAGTTCTATCCTTTCTGGGGAGCAATCATAACATATACCACAAACAGGAAAAGAAACATGCCCACAGACACCTCCATTTCACCTGAGGAATTCTGTAGTACAGCTATATCTCACAGCCTATCATCCTCAGGAAATGATCATGGATAGGTTGCGAAATACAGTTAGAAGAACACTGCTATGGGGTACCTGGGTGGCTCAGTGGGATAAGTGTCTGCCTTTGGTTCAGGTCCTGGGATAGGCCTCACATTGGGCTCCCTGATCAATGGGCAGTCTGCTTCTTCCTCTGCCCACCCCCACTCATGCTCTGTAATAAAAATCTTAAAAAAAAAAAAAAAAGAACTCTTCTACTAGCAAAAACTTGGAAATAATCCTTCTGATAATCAGATACTAGTTCAATTATGGGATATCTGAATGAAGGTAATAGAGGCCACTTTATTAACATGGAAAGAAGCCCCGACTCCCGGTGGGATGGATTTTATATAAGCATATGTTCGAACATACTGTTTTTACAAATGGGTTTTGCTCTACTTTGTGTAATGAATCAGCTTCTATGTTATTTATCAGTAATGCAGACTACAAATAGCAAAAAAAGAATACTCAATTTCTTAACCACAGGCACATTAAATTAAATTTTATTTTATTAGAGATAGCAAAATAGTCCTGTGTATTTGAAATGTTCTATTGAGGACTATTTTTGCACTAAGAGAAGTTATATCTAAACACATTCTTTTATCTTCTGGATAGTTTAAGTTCTAATGCTCTTAGTTTAGATTTTAGTACTTTAAGAATATGAGGACCTCAAAAATGTCCTACCTGCTAGCACACATTTTATAGCCTGCATCGGCAATTCCAGCAACTTCGGAGTTATGGGACAGAGTCTCGTCAAACTAAGGATTTCAAAGTTTCCGTAATCTACATATCCAACCAGTACAGACTGTTCAGAAGCATAAGCTAAAATGGAGGCACGGTACCACTGATCATCCTCTGAAAGAAGGAGAGACTCCGTCTCAAATGATTTTCTCGTACAGATATAAACAAAAACCTTCCCTCCCAAATTTAGAGATGGTCATTCATAGGTTTTACTTTAATAGAGTATCAGGCTTTATTGAACAATGTATGCCTAGTCAACATGACAACCTCTGTTTCTCAGAAGCCCTCAATTCCTAAAAACTCCCTTTTATGCATACCTTACTAGACTGCTCATGTCCTGGGAGGTCATGGCTTACAACATGCTTTGTCTCCCTCATAGACAGTTAACACATTAGGACCGAGAACGTGTCTGGGTCTTGGGAATGAATCCACAATGATGCCTTGATCAGTACAGGGACAATTTGCTAAGCATCAAGAAGGGCTAATTTTAGAATACTGGCAGTAGGAGTCAACCAGACTCTACCGACCAAGCAATCCATTTCCTGGAGGCCCACTTGCATCTTACCCTTCTGTGAGGCAACTGGACTTGCTTCCCTTCAGCAGGATAGAACGGAAGCCAGTTATCACAGCTGTGCTGTGATGGCTCCGTGCTTCCAGGCCCTCCCGCTCTTCCCAAGAAAACTGGTGAAGACATGATCCTGGAAGATTCCATGTTCACATCCTGATGTAAACAAAATTACCTGCACCGTTCCCCAAAACTAAAGGGCTGTTAAAATAATAGGAATTTCCTTTGCCAACTCCCCCAGCACTCACAGGCCTTCTTCCCTTGCACACTTGGGTTCAGTTTAACTGTGCATAGTTAAAGGACTGGTGCACTCTAATACTCAAACTTCAAATGCAGCCATCCAGTGCAGACCGAAGATTGTTTCATTTATTTTTACTTGATTATAAGTAAAAAAAAAAAAAAAAAAAAAATTCATTAAGACTCTTCCCTCACCTGAGAATTGGGCACAACAGATATCACCAATGGTTGGATAAAAATCTGAGCGTGGAGACACTTGACCACAGTATTCGCTAAGGGATGCCTGAAGTTCAGCGAGCTTATCTGTCGATATAGATCACATCTTAAACACAGTAAATACAAATCTACGCATTATCTTCTTTTTCACATGTTGAGTCTCTTGAAGTACAAAGATTATACAACCAGCACAAATCAAAGAAAATTTACTTACGTCCGCTTTGCAGCTGTTGACAAAAGAAGTCTTCTGGAGTCTGAATGTGGGCAACCACACCACAAAACTTATCGCCTACATTCAAAGTTAACACTTTGGGGATTAGATCACTTCTATCCACAACAACTCTGTTTTCAGCTATCATTTTTCCAACATCTTCAAGATCATCTTAACAAAAAAAAAAAAAAAAAAAAAGAAAGAAAGAAAAACCAAGGCATCTGGTTATCATTCAGCTGATTTTTGTAGCATTTCAAACCCAGTCACGCTTCTTCAACACCTCTAGGCCTTAACACACGCTATTCTTCCTCCCAGAACACACTCCCAATCTCCCAGCAACGCGGTTATTTCTTGCTCAGTGTGGTGTCAGTGTAACCTTGAAAAGACTTCCCCCTAACCCAGGTTAGGTGCTCCCACTGCACTCTCCATGCACTCGCTCTTATGCCGTTTTATCATCTCTTCTCTACATGTCCGTCCTGACCACAGAATACCCTCCACTAAGGCACCTCCATAGTCCCTCAGTGAAGCAAATACTGCCCAGGAGATTTCTGTTCCTTCTACAAGACAGCTCTGCAAGCCTTGCTTTTACTACCGATGACTTCCTTCTAGAAGCATTCACCCTTCTGTTGCTCTGGCAACTTTTGTCCCCACTCTCTACCCACCTCCCCCATTATGACTTCTCACTTGATGCTATAGGCCCTAGGTTTATCCCCCACCCCTTTCTTTTCCCTGATCCCACACTCTCCCTAACATACCACCAGCATTTATGGTTTCAACCATGACTACTACTAGACCAGTAAGTGTTCGGTTTTCTCCTCTAGATGGCAAAGAATTACTACAAACTTTCCAGCAGAGCTGTCATACTAAGATTTGTGTTCTGGGGATATCATGTACAGTATTATAAAGAATTCAGACAGCAGAGGGGCGCCTGGGTGGCTCAATGGGTTAAGCCTCTGCCTTCAGCTCATGTCATGATCTCAGGGTCCTGGGATCGAACCCCGCATCAGGCTCTCTGCTTAGCAGGGAGCCTGCTTCCCCTCCCTCTCTGCCTGCTTCTCTTCCTACTGTCATCTCTCTCTGTGTCAAATAAATAAAACAAAAAATCTTAAAAAAAAATTCAGACAGCAGAAATGGTAAAGTCAGAGAAGGTTGTTGCAATTATCCACAACTGGTAAGGATTCCTGAACTAGAAAAATAATAAGGAAAAAAAGGATTTTAAAAAAGAAAAAAAATCATATACAAAGGATATTCAGGAAGAAGAACCAATAAAGACCTGGCAACCAATGAGACAAGGCAAAGGACAGGAGGTAAGGATAAGGTAGACTTAAAAATGTGTCAACCTGGTTTATATGAAGGGATACATCTAATCACAGAACCATTAACCTGGCCATCACCTCTGGATGAATGAGCAAGAAACGATGAGGTATGTCTGCATCCAAAGTAATTGGTAAAGGAACAAAGTAAGGAGGAAAACAGGGCAATAAGTACCACATATAACTAGGAAATGAGAAAATGATGGTAGCAAAACGTCTTAGTTCTTGTTTAGTATAACTCTTGTTATACTAAACGGAAAAGCCACACACATAATTAAACGAGAAGTAAAAAAAAATTTATGAAGAAACACCATCTTACCAGAACAGAATTACCCCTATTTGTTATTGTTGGAACACCTAAGTAAGGAGGGAAAATTAAACTAAGGAAATGTTAGCTAAAAACCCTTCAACTCAAACTGTCATGATATTTAGTACTTCGGAGATTTCTGATAATCATCATGTCAAGGATTAATATGGAAGACAGATATGGAAGGAAAACAGGCAGGGAAGACTAAGATTAGACATAATGTACTACTAAATGAAAAAGTTATCTTTCTTACATAAAGTTCAAATGGTTATTTCCATTAAATCTGTCAGTGTGACAGCTCTGCCCTTTTTTTTTTTTGTTTAGGAGAGAAGATATTCTTTAGTACCTGGAGTCACTGTACTATTCTATACGAATCTGTATACTCACTTGCTTCTGCACTTTGCTTCTTAGAATTTTGTCCTTTGGGTTTCAAGCCATATCCCATTTCTATGAGCACATCATCTAAGAGTTTTCCTAAAAATGGTTAAGAAAATACATCCCTATTGAGATATTATACCAAGAGGAAAAGCATAAACATGAAACAAATGAATCACAATCATGTGACCTAGAGATCATATCTATTAATACACTCGCCTATTATGTTACCAGTTCAGTTTCTGTGTGCAAAATACTGTTAACTAATGCTCAGCCTTAAAAATTGAGGCAAAATTCCCATTGTCATGTGGCAGAAAATTTTATAAAAATATTTCACCTCAAAATTCTGGATAACATGAAAGATTTAGTTGCTACCTCACTGGCAGGCTTAGTATGGACACCATTTATAAGAAAAAAAGAAGTTTAGTGTTCAACTAAGACTACTTTTTCTCAAAGTATGGCTGAAACAAGGGGTAGCCAGCATGTCATAAACTTCAAGTTCCTTGAAATACCACCTGAGGGATTTTGGAGGGGAGAGGGTGGGGGGTGTGAACCCGGTGGTGGGTATTGCGGAGGGCACGTATTGCATGGAGCTCTGGGTGTGGTGCATAAACAATGATTTTGGAACACTGAAAAAAAATTAAATAAAAAAAAAAAGAAATACCATCCAGAAGACTGAGTCAAAATACGAAACAATACACAGCAAAGAAAATACTTAATTTCACTAAAGATTTAAATGAACTTTCTACCATGTCATCAACCAACAGCATGTCTCCTAAAGTAAAAGAATGATACCTTGGAAAGTGAGACATAATTATAAGCACACGGTCAGAAGTCACTTTTTGAACACACAGAAGGGATTCCAAGGGGTTTCCATCTCCACACTTAAATACTAGGCACTTACACTCTCATTACTAAACAAACACACTTCTGTGAAGATTCTTCAAGGAAAAAGCACTCGTGGTGAAAGTATGGACCAATTCATAAGGAAACTCTTGAATTTTTCTCCATAAGTGAGTAGAAATCAGGAATGGTGATCGTAACGGCCGTATCAAAAGGCTAACACAGTCATCCCCACACTAAGTCAGCATCTATCCTTTGAAGACCCCCAGCTCCACCACCGATGCCGATGCCGGGTCTCTGACTGACTGCCACCGGCAAGAGCAAGGTCACACCCTGAAGGACTTGCGAGAAGCTTACTTGGCCTCATTTCATGTTTCTATTTCTTCTCTGCATAACAGCTGAAGACTAAACACCATGTTAATTGCTGCATCTACAGAACAGAGTTAGATCTTACCTGAGCTGGGCAGCCTCACATCCACAGCAAAGGTAACCACTTCTTCTTTGGAGATGTCAACAATCTTTACAGAGCAGTACTGCTCCATTAACAGTGACTTAATCGTTTTGACACATTCACTGCTCCAGTTCCCCTCTGCTGGGATAACACTGGCCACAAAGCACTTTATGGCCTGAAAGATTTTACATGAGTTACTAAAAAATTAGTATTTGAAAATGATTTTTTCTAATTAATAACATGAAGATTTTTTAAAGGTAATACATTTATCACTGAAAATTTATCAAAAATCTTCCAAGAATAAACAATTTTATGTTTTTGTAAGTAGTTACATATGTAATTATGTATTTTTTTACATATGTATATTATGTATGTAATTACGTAATTTTGTATGTAATTTTTGTATGTAATTTGTCTCTTGTGCTACTCTATCCATGTGCTTTTCCTTTTGGGACCTGAAGCTTGAGAAATTCATGAAAGGATAACTAATTATCCCTCAAATACATATAAATTCAGGTTGCTTCCAGACAATGTAATAAACATAGAAATGATTGTTTTAAAAGAACAGATGGATAAGATGTCCCTAAAAAATGCTAAGTTTCTCATGTAAGGAAGTATTACCTAAGGCTTCTTAAATGGATCCAAGAAAGCCAATGACATTTATCTACATTTAGTAAAAAATGAAAAATATACCAATAGGTACTTTTTTATAATAACCATCACAGAACAGAGCAAGCAAATATTGTGCCCATTAAAATATTAAAGACAGCTCTTTGGGGGCACTATTAGGAATTTAGAAAGTAAAAAAGACTCACACATGGAGGAAATAAGTCAATGTTTCTATTTAGTTGGTGAATTCTGTTTATTGGAATTATTTCTTCATTTCCATAATCAATATATAAGACGTGTGCCTTCTTCTGCAGCATATCAACATCTTGTATCATTACTCTGTTCCAGGTCTGAAAGTGAAATATAATGGTACTCTGCTTCAAAACAGTATTTCAGGCTTCAAAACTCTCAGCCCATCTATAGAACAGCCAAAGGAGAAACTACAGCTCTGTTCTGAGGGACTCATTTAACAGGTTAATCTAACAATCTGGCTAAGAAATCCCTGAATTTGTCTTCTTAGGAGACTAATGTACACACAACCACTTCCAGGTTACTCTAGCCCAGGAGACACAATGACACACTAATGCCTCAGTACAGAAGTGCACAGGCTGCAGGGCTGGCTGTCCGTGTGCACTTGGCAGAGGAGGCTCCTATCAACAGAGCTGGAGGGCTCACCCAACAAATCCATAATACCAAATGAGGAAGAGAGACAGGAATGTGACCACAGACTCTGGTTAAGCCAGCAAATGCATTATTAAAAGCTCCAGTGTCCAGCTTATATGACAAAAGTAAATTAAAACATCATATTAAATAATTCACTTCATCAGCAGTTACCTGATCAACAGTGTACTTGGCAACACAAACTTCCCCCTTAACAGGAATGTAATCCTCCTCAGTTGTATGTGCATAGGTTTCCTTTAGACTCGCAGAGAGCTGGTTCATGTATTCTAATACTTCTGAAGAATATAACTGCACATAAAAGTCACTTGGGTGTTTGAATTCAGTAACTGTACCCTTTCAAAAGACAGAAAAGGTGCAATAATTCACTGAGAACACAAGCACATGGGAATTTCTAAAAGCTTTCTAACGAGATTTTTAAAAGGGTATTTTAAGACAGTTTTCGCAATCAGTTTCATCAGTTACATTTTGTAGCTCACTTAGAAGCTCAAACTAAAAACAGGAAACAAGGAATAAAAATCTATAGTTCTTTGGATCTCTGTCTATAGAAATTAAATAACAAATACCTTTATTTCCATGGTTTTCCTGAGTTGTAGACTTCTCAAATCAGAAAACATTATTTTATCAGCACCAATGGCTATTTCTTTAGTAACTCCAAGAGGATAGTCACCCTGGGTTTTAAAAAAACAAAACACATGAGTGAGTTACTTATACAAGCACATGTTTCAGCAATACTGTGGCCACCATTTGCTGGAATTGAGGCCAAAATAGTCCCTGAGGCTTGAATAACAGAGAGATATAGTGTGTACCTCCAAGAGCCAATAAAACCCACTGTCCCTAGGCAGTTTACACAGCAGTGGGATCACTGAAGTATCAGGCCATAATGGTGATGATAATGTTGAGTTTATAAAATAAAAAGGGGGGGGGGTTAGTGTTTTAAGTTTGTACTTGTTAACATTTTATAAGTATGAATATTTGAGGAAGTCAGATTTTTTTTTTAAGTAGAAGCTAGGACCAGCTAGAGAAGCCTAAAAATTATAGATGAGCTGAGCACTACTGATATTTTTCAGGTTATGAATGACTTAGCCCACAGTTACCTACATGGAAGAGAGGACTTACAGAAAAAAAATGCCCCTTTGATACGAGGGCAGGACACAAAGCCAGAGAATGTGTGCATGCAGGGACTAGAGAGAGGGGCTGTCTCTCAGAAATCCAAACAATTTTACACTGAGACACAGGCATCACAAGTCCTTCTGGGCAGAGTGCTGGGCACACATAATGCTCAAAAATCCCCAACAGTCACCCAATCGATCATTAAGGTGTACAGGTTACTCCACAGGAAACAATGGTTTTAATAAACACTGATGCAGAGGCGCCTGGCTGACTCAGTCAGACGGGCCTGCAACTCCATCTGGGATCTGGAGAGTTCGAGCCCCATGATGGGTGTGGAGATCACTTGGATAAACACCGGTGAAATGCAGAAGTGGTAAGTATTTTATTTAGCTTAAGTCCTCTTAATTCAAAAGGAAATCATTCAAAATTTACTCTAAAGATAAAAAGTACATCGTACCTCATTTTTCACTTCCATGTTCTTTGTTTCAAAAGGTGACTTACTATCTTCATGTTTGTGGAAACTGAAATAAAGCAGCTGATTAGAATACTTAGAGTACAGAGCCAATCAAGAGTAGGGGCCACAGTGATGTTAAATTCTCAATCATCAAAATCCAGAAGGAGAAAAACAGCTTCCTTCAGAGAGTATCACAGTAGTAACAAAGCAAAATAGTCCAGGGCTGGCTATGAAACGGTCTACCCTGTGTGCGAGCTCGCCTCTTCCAAAGCCGCTTGATTAAAGGGACCTCTGCAGCCACAATCTCCAAGCCCCAGCTTTCTTATCTACAAGATGTAATCCCTACATAACCTCAATAGTTTTGAGGACCGAATGAAGTTATAGATGTGAAACTGCTTTGTAAACTGGTAAATGCCATGCCACTAAGATTTTCGTATTTTAAAGTCGCAATTCATGAGACACTGTGAGAGTTCTACCTTATCATAATTCAGGAAAGAACACGTGTTTGAAAGGAATTCTAAAGGTCTACTTATTACAAACACTAAAAACTTAAAGTTCTGACTCTGAATATGTACTAATAGAATCATATTCATGGAAACTCAGTCCTGAATTTGTAAGCTCTTCATTTCAAATTTGCATCCTTTATGTTACACCTCAGTAAATAAAAGTAACAACTTCTGCATAGTTATGGCCTGCTAACCTCATTTGATTCTTATACTATCAAAAATAAAGCCCATTTAAGTATTCCCTAATGAATAAAAGAAATCATGCTTACTTTTGTTGAACAGGCTTGCACACGATGCTGTGTGCGGACCAGTCCCTTCTCTGGCACGCTATGGAGCAGTAGTAGGTCTGCTTGCACTGTGAGCACCTCAGCGATCCTACAGAACACAGCCCGTAACATCACCAGTGTTTTATTCCAAGTATTTGTTGCTGAGAGCAAGACATTTTCAAAGACCAGACATATCAATCACCATTCTATGAATCACATCAGGAAGATTACTTGAAGAGGATTATGATGTTTTTTGATTAGGCGTTAAGATTAAATTTTTAAAGCTCTCTCAGATTGCAAATAGGAACGCAAAGATGAAAATGAAAGGTGGGACAGCCTGAAAACATAACTGACTTTCCTAAAGTAGAGCCCAGAACACATTATAAAAGGCACAATCAAAGGAAACAGAGAGTGTGTGGTAGTGAAAACAAACTCGTGCAAGCCAACTCTGACATGGCTTATTACCTCGCGCTGTTAAAAAAAATACAAGACAAAAAAACCAATGAAGAGAATCACATCCAGAAAAACCCAGAAGTTTTTTAAATAAAGTACTAAAAAACCCTATGAATATACAGGCAGAAAAAAAAAAAACCCACATAAAGAAACAACAACAACAAAAAAACCAGACTGGCCTCAAATGGTTCTACTCAAAAGAAAAAAAAAAAAAAAAAGCTAAATATCCAAGTAGCCAGTAAGCATGTGAAATACTGCTCAAGATCACTCACGGGTCATGAGGGAAATAAAAGTTAAAAGCACACTGCGATACCAGTATACACCCACGAGGAGAGGGCTAAAGTTGAAAAGACCAGCAGCACCGAATGACAGAGATGTGGAGCACATGGAACTCTCTATCACTGGGAAGGCAGAACAGGATAACTACTCAGGAAAATGGCTTGGCTGTTTCCTCGAAACTTAAATATATACCTACCCTTTGACTCAGCAATTATACTCCTAGGTATGTACCCAAGAGAAATGGAAACATATATCCACATAAGGACTTGTGCAAAAACGCGGAGAGAGCTCTATTCATAATAACCAGAAGCTAAACACAAGCAAAACTGTTCAACAAAAAACCCAGATACACTGTGATAGAATCATATAAATACTACTTGGCAACAAAAAATAGTGTACATAGACCATATTAATACTCAAAATATTATTCTAAATGAAAAAAAAGCTTCACACAAAAGAATCAAGATTCCATTTTTATGAAGTTCTAAAACTGGCAAAATTAATTTACAGTTCAATTAAAAAAACCACTGTGGTTGCCTCTCGTGGCCATAGAGATTGGAAGGGGCTAGAAGGGAACTTTCTAAGAAGATAGAAATATTCTGTCTTGAGAAGCATGTGAGTTTGTGCATGCCAATGCACGTAAATTTTATCGTAAACAAAACTATGGGAAATAATAACCGGGGAAGGAAGGAGCAAGAGTGGAAAGGTATGGATGAACAACTGTAGGACGCTGGTGGCTGCTGAAGCAGAGATGGGTATAGAGCAGGTACAATATTCTGTTCATACTTACTATGTTTTAAACTTTCCGTAGTAAAAATATTTTTCAAATGTGTGAAAAAAATAATCCAGACATGTTAGGGAAATATGCTTACCAAACAAGCCACAGCGATGGCAAGTTGTTGACCGAAAAGAAGGTCCTAAGGAGTTGAAGAGTGCTGAATTATTTATGGACAAGGAATTCTCAACCAACTTGTGTATTTTTTTTGACTTTGCAGGAGGCACGTTATTGCTAGGCTTCTATTAAGAAAAGAGAATAGCAATATTAAAACTTGGTAGTAGTTTTTTTTTTTAAATACTGTATTAGGGATTTCCTCTTCTGGACAGGTAAAAAAGATGTACCTTTCCCTATTCCTCCTATTACATGCTACTAAAAACCCAGACTTATAAACAAACATAAGCTGACTTTGACAAGAGGGCAGCAGACAGGCTAGGAAACTTGGGGCCCAGAGAAGAACAAGACAATGCGTTCCTGAGTTTTCTTTTGGCCTCATGTATTTCAGACACAGTGCTGGAGAAGCCAGCAACCCAAAATGCCAAACAGTATAGACAATAAAAGCCCCAACAGAAAGTATCCTCTCTTGAGCTAAAGACCAAGAAGCGGGCATCCCAGCAATACAGAAAACCAGTAACTGTTCTACCCTAGACAAACACCACAGTAAAAGCTGTGGCCCTGTTCTAGAGTAGGGTGCTGGCACTTCGTCCCTGGGAGTCTCCCCGGGAACCCGGACTTTCACCCAACAGGTAAGAGTGTTCCTCCTACCCCACCCACCATTACTGGGGAGGTAGAAGAGGACTCCCAGTGGACAATCAGGACTTTTTACCACTGTTCAAAAGTAATGAGTGTCTCCCAAATCTTCCCCTCTAATTCTCCTCTCTGACCTACCTACTCTCTCCCCCTCCATCCCACTCCTATATCAGTAAAGAGGCACTCATCACTTCTGGCAAGGAGGAGGTATCACATGAGGCCTACCTGGAAGCTGGAACTCCCACCCTCACCCAAAAGCAAAGGAGAGCACCTCCTTCAGTGCCAGCTCAGGCTGACTGAAGAACCTGGACATCTACTCCCACCCAGCAGCACCCACCCTCTGATGTAGGGTCAGAGGAAGCTAGCTAAAAAGGAAGTTTAAATAAGATACAGAATTTCATTAACATAATACCCCAAATGTGCTAGTTTCAATAAAAAATCACTTGTCTTATTTAGAAAAAGGGAAATCACAACTGAATTAAAAAAAAAAATGCCAACATCAAGACAACAGAGAAGTTTATTTGACAAACATTTTAAAGGAGCCATCAATAGTTCAGTAAGCAATTAGGAGCACAATTGAAACAAATGTAAAGAGTCCCAGCAAAGAAACAGAAGATATAAAGAAGAACCAAATGGAAGTTTCACAACTGGAAAGCAAAATAACAAGGAAACACAGTGAGGGATGCCACGCCAAAATGTAGAGAACAGAGGAAAGGCTCAATAAACTTGAAGACTGAACAACAGAAATTGCCTCACCTAACAAGAGAGAAAAAACAAAGTGGAGAAAAAACTAAATTAACAGAGCCTCAGAGACCTATGGGACTATAACAAAATATTTAACATTCATGTCTTTGGAGTCCCAGGAGAGAAAAAAAGGCAGGGTGAAGAAGTTCTTTTTTTTTTTTTTTTTTTTTAAGATTTTATTTATTTATTTGACAGACAGAGATCAAAAGTAGGCAGAGAGGCAGGCAGAGAGAGAGGAAGGGAAGCAGGCTCCCTGTTGAGCAGAGAGCCCGATGTGGGGCTGGATCCCAGGACCCTGGGATCATAACCTAAGCTAAAGGCAGAGGCTTTAACCCACTGAGGCACCCAGGCACCCCCAAAGAAATTCTTAAATAAAAAAGGCCCCAGACTTACAAAATTTGGCAAAAGATATAAATCTACAAATTCATGTTGAGCAAGTCCCAGACCAAATCAAAGAACTCCACACCAAGACTCACGTAGTCAAACTTCTTCAAGCTAAAGACAAAAAAGGTTAAAAGCAGAGAGAGGAAAAGGACATCTTACTTACAGGGGAAAAAGTAATTCAGAAGAAAATAGATTTCTCAAAATATACCCTGGAGAGCAGAAGGAAGTAATACAACATTTTTCAAGTGCTGAAAGAAAAGAACCGTTAGCTGAGAAACTTCTCCATGAAAAGTATCCTGCAGGAGTAAAGAAGAAATCAAGACATTCTCAAATGAAAGAAAACTAAGAATTTGTCACCAGTAGACCTAAAGAATGGCTAAAGGACGTTCTCTAAACATAAAGGAAATAAAGGAATGCTGGAACAAAAGGAAAGGAAGAACACATTAAACAAAAATACAATAAGCACAATAGACTTAACAGAAAAAAACTGAAGCAAAATGAAACTGAAAAGAGAAAAAGACAATATATAATTGTAGAGACCTTAATATCCCTATCTCAACAATTAGTAGAACTACATTGAAAATCACCAAGAATACAAAAGAACTGGAGATCACCATCAACCAAGGGATTCTGTTAGACATTTATAGATCATTCTACCAACCACAAGATGGACATTCTTTTCAAGTGCTAAAGAACATATACTAAGTCCACACACAGGGCCATAAAGAAAAGCTCAACAAATTTAAATCACACAGAGTAGGTTTTTCAACGACAGTGGATTCAAACTAGAAATAAGTAACAAGAGTAATTAATAATCTTCAAACATTTGAAAACAATAGACTTCTAAACAATTCATGAGTCAAAGAGGAGGTCTCAAAGGAAATGAAAAAAAAAAGTTGAACTAAAAGAAAATGAAAACATAACAAATCAAAATTTGTAAGACACAGTTAAAGCATTGCCAAGAGGTAAATCCATAGCACTAAGTTCACACACTAGAAAAGAGGGAAAATTTCAAATCAATAATCTAAATTCCCATCTTAAGAATCTAAAAAAGTAAGAAAAAAAATGCCAAAAGCAAACAGAAGCAAGTAAACAAAGATAAAAGGAGAAATCAATGAAATTAAAACACAAAAACTTAGAGAAAAAAAAAAATCAATGAAACAAAGACCTGGTTCTTTGATAGGACCAAAAAAGGGGCACCTGTGTGGCTCAGGTGGTTAAGCATTGGACTTCAGATCAGGTCATGATCTCTGGGTCCTGAGATCAAGACCAGGTCAGGCTCCCTACTCAGCAGGGAGACAGCTTCTCCTTAGACCCCCTCAACCCTCTTCCCCCCACCAATGGAATAAATACGCCTAATTTTTGACAAAATTTTGACAAAATTATTGATAAATAAATAAATAAAATCTTAAAAAAAATAAAACTACTGATACAACAAACCCTAGATGAATCTCCACGGAATTACACTGAATGAATTTATCCAATCCCAAAAAGTTACATACTGTAGGATTCCATTTATATAACATCCTTGAAATGACAAAACTCTCGATGTGGATTAGATTTGTAGCCTCCATGGATTAAGGAGGTGGTAGGGGCAAGAGAGAAATGGTATGACCATAAAAAAGCATGTAAGGGAAAGATGCAAATGTTCTGTATCTTGACAGTATCACTGTCAACATCCTTATTGCCATATTATACTAAATTCTGTAGCACATCACACAGGGAGAAACTCAAAGAGCTACACAGTATCTGTATCTCTGCACGCCATTGCAGGGCTGCACTAACAGTGGCATGGCATACTGTAATTACGTCAACAGAACTGATTTTTTTTTTTTTAAGATATTAGGATAAAGAAAAGGAAGCTTCACCTTCAATAACATCTGAAAATTGAGTAATTCTTCACTAACACAATACAAAATATGTTTAGAATCTTTTACACCCAAACAAAAACACAAAATAGAAAACAAACAAAAAACCTTACACTATTTACTTCTTTGGGTGGTGAATTGTTTCCGGCATTTAAAGGGGACACTGAGTTTCCTGGAGAGAGAAAACATAAAGAGCCAAATATTACTTTATTCCTGAAAATGTAGAAAACCATAATTAGATATTCAAATAATAAAGATATACTATAATAGCCTTAAGCCTACACTACAAATAAACAACTTACTTTTCCTAATAAAAAATAAGGATTTGTTTGAACATTCAATTACTATTCTTCTTGTGAATTTTTCTCCATTCACTGAGGCAGCAATTCTCAGACTTTTTTGAACCTCAGACTCATATACACACTTAGAAATTGTGAACCTCAGAGAGATTTTGTTTATATGGCCCATGTGTCTCAATACTTACCTATATTAGAAATTAAGGGGTGCCTCACTGACTCAGTAGAGCATGTGACTCTTGATCTAAGGATCATGAATTCAAGCCCCACACTGGGCATAAAGCTTACTTAAAAAAAAAAAAAAAAGGTAAGGATACCTGGTGGCTCAGTGGTTAAGCATCCAAGTCTTGATTTTGACTTGGATCATGATCTCAGGGTCCTGAGACTGAGCCCTGTGAGGGCTCTGTGTTGGGTATGGAGCCTGTTTAAAATTCTCTCTCTCCCCCTGTCCCCCCTCCCCCTAAAAACTGTTAAAAAGAAATTAAAATTAGAAATTTCAAAGTTTTAAAAATTAAAAGTTTATTTAAAAATAAATACACTACGTTGACATGATTTTTGTACGTAAAACAACTACATTTTCAAAAGCAAAAAAAAATTGTGAGAAGAGTAGCACTGTTTTACATTTTTGTAATGTTTGGTTTAAATCATGATCGTTGGATTCACGTACCTGCTTTTGCATTCAATCCCCTGTATTGTTTTGGTTGAAGCATATGAAGAAAATCTGGCCTCGCACAGATACATGATTGCAAAAAGGAGTATTTAACTGCCTTCTCAGGTAATTATAGATGTTTTCCTTTAACATCATGCCAAAACTCAAGTGGTAGTTTGAGGGGTAGTTGCAATGAGGAATCTAAAACTTTTTCATAATGTGACATTGGAATCCACTGATTGATCCTGTACTTTTGAGTGGATTTTTACCCATGAGTGACTATGCAACATGAGGCATTGGCCATTTGGAGAAGAATGAGAAACTCTTGAGTTATACAGATCTTTCAATTGTGGACAGATTCCATTACAAAATATTTTAAAATTCATGTGTGTTATTTAGTATCAACAGGCATCTCCCCAGGAAAGTCTAAGCATTGAGAAGCTGTCATGGCAGAGTGGCAGATAATGCTTTTCCTGAAATTCTCATTTTGCTCAAAAGCTTGAATTTTATCATTAGCAACAAAATACTGTCAGGTGTTTTCCTTGAAGTAATAGGTTCACTTTATTCATTTTTGAGAAAATGAATGCCAGATATCTAAATCTGAATAACCAGAATTTTTCATTCTTTTCAAGTAAAAAATGATGTTCCAAGAAAAAAGTTTCCATATAGCCTATAACTCAGTCACATACATGCTTTTCATACTTCCTATGAAGCACAAGTTAGGGGTAATTCCCATTTTGTTACACAAAATACTAAAAATATGCGTACACAAGTGTCAAGATTTGTCAAGGACAGCCCTGAGTAAGGCATTTCTGGTTTTGTTTTAACCGCAAGTTTATAGCAATAAAAAAACCCAATTACCACTAGCCCAAGTAGGTAGGAGCTAATGAGGCATTAACGATAATGGCATTAATAGTTTACCTTTGCTTCTGCATCATTGGTGTAAAGTCAGCCCGACAAAAAAGGCAAATGATATTTTAGTATTATCGGGGAAATAGTTTTGACCTCTTGGGAAACCCCAGAGGCCCAAGGGCCACGCACCAGAACCACATCACCATAACATTAAAAGATCACATATGATAATACGTTCACCCAGTGCCCCCCCAACTTCAAAACCAGGTTTTTGGAATTAGGACTAAAGGAACAACTTTTTAAAAATCTGATGAAACAATATAATGTCTTATGTGTATCTTTGTGACAGATTGTCTATCTCAAATGCAAATTATGCAATTTACATAGTATTTTTTAAACATGGCCAATCTTTAAAAAGGCAGAGTATGTCCTTTCTATAGTCCTTGGACGGTTCTCCCATTGTGGGGGGAAGCTCCTCTGTAGACATGCTCTCCTCCCAAAATGTTTTTTGTGATGAATCTAGTCAAAGGAAGTTATTTGGCACCTGGCTTTTCCTTCTAAATCTTTAAATGCAAATACTGTAAGGTAGCTATTTAGTTGTTTTGTTAATAGCACATGGGTGTGTGATCACATACTGTGATAAGCCAAAGAAACCATCAGAACCAAGAAGTAATAAGCCTGTAGTTTTCACTTACCTGTTGACAACGTCTTCCTGTCTCCTTTGGATCCAACCACCTCTCCATTGATGCTGTTAGGGTTTGAAGATACTGAATTGTCTTCTTGACTAGCCAAATACGGTTTGGTTTGCTCACAAAGCAAAAAACTGTTTTTTTTATTTCCATTCTCCGGGCTTTTCAACCGGAAATTAGGGTGGTTAGCATGTGCTCCAGGACTTCTTAAAGAATCATGTGGCGGAATCTTGTTTTCATTTTTCTCAAAATTAAATGGCTCTGTCATCTTACAAATAGATGCCTCCAAATTATTTCTTGACATCATAGTATGTGGCAATTTAACATTCACAGAAGCCTATGGGAAGAAGTGCATTTAAAAAGCAATTTTTAATTACAAAAGTAGAAGCATCGCAGGCCCTTTTTATGTAACAAGTAAGGCTCATGAATAATTCCAAAGCAGAGGTAACCGTGATATCAGAGCCTGGCCTAAAAGCAAAAGGAACAGATTCTCTATCTCGGTAGGTACAAACTCCCAAGTTTCACACAATTCAACCACAGACAAAAGGCTAACTCAAGAGACATCAAAAGAGTCATCTCAGAGTTCGACACCATTTTTTACTTTAAAAAGCTTCTGAAACAACAGGAATAAAAAAGGACTTGCATGTTTTAAGAGAAATATTTCTAAGCCACAGATTGCAACTTAACAGTCAGATACAATGAGGGTATTGTCTTCATCGGGTCATCACCTACCTTTCTAGCCTCTCAGAATCCCTCTATCTGCTCCTACTTGAGACACTGAGATCTTGAATATGCTGAGCCCAGCTCTCAGTGCCTTTACTTTCCTCATTGGCCTGGCAAAGTCTTTCCTTCCTAGGCACCCTTCACGGTTTGCCTCAGCTGACCTCTGTTTGGTCTGTTTTTCCCCAGTCCTCTGCTTGATCATCTCCAGCTTAGCTTCCATAAACTGTAATTCATATCTACTCCTTTTAAGGACTTAACTGCATGCACTTTTCTCTGAAAATAAGGTACATTTATTGTTACAAAGTGCCTCTGAGAAACCTCTATCCAGACTTGATGCTAGCTTGTTTTTTTCCTATTACTCTTAAAGAATACTAAGTGTCCTGCCTGAGGGAAGTAATAAAAGTGGACAAACAACTTTTCTTTCTGAGGCTGTGACCTACAGCTTTGTACACAGACCTCAGTTAAAACTGCCTATTGTCCCAGAACTGTTCAGGGGGAGGAGGGGAAGCCACAGAAAGCTAAACTGGTATGAGTAGTATCTAAAGATTAACACTGTTTTAAAGGGAAAACAAAAATATAGCAGAAACATCCTCCCTCCTGGTGGCCTAAAATTTCTGTATCATTTTTTGCTTTAAATTAGGCCTAGCCTAATCTGTGACAATACAGAAAAGACAATGAAATAATAAAAAAAAATACATATGCACACTCAAAGCGTGGGGGTTGGGGGGGGGGACTCTCAGTGGGCCAGATCCTGAGAAGATCCCTAACTAAAGGCTGCAGATGGGCAGTTATGGGAGATCCTGCAGCCATCAGGGAAAGCGCACGTGTGGCAGTAAGCACATCCTCCCACGGCTCAGACTGGGTGGGAGTGAGACTGTTGGGTTCAGTAAGAGACAAATTCTGTGAAGTTACAAAGGAACATAATTTTCAGGGGAAACTGGGTTGGAATAGGAATACTGAGTAACAGACAATTTATAAGAAATATAAAGAATGCACATTAAGATACTAGGGTAACTACAAGAACAAAAACAAGGCATAATTTTTAAATTACAGAAGAAAAATCTCAGTCTAACGAAAAAAAAAAAAAAAAGAAAGATTCAAGCATGGTCAATGGAAAACACCAAATAAGATGCCAGAACCAAACCCAAGCAATCCAATTATCAATGATTTAGTCTCAATTAAGAGAAAAAAAGAGGGAGAAAAACATCCTGCTAGATATTATGCACAACAGGCACACATAAAATTTATGGCAAGTTTGGAAATAATAGAATTAAAACATGTGCTATGCAAATAAAAAAAGATGAAATATGAATACTGATAGCTGATAAAAGAGAATTCAATTGGGACAAAGATTTTTTACATGTATGAAAGAAACACCCGAGGAGAGAGCACACCCAAGAATCAGTGCATCACAATGTCCTCAGATCTATAAAACAAAAACTGATTGAGGGAGGAGAAATTCAGGCCACAATAAGTACACACCTGCCTTACACACTTGTCAACAGACAGAAAACAAGTACTATTTTATTTTTTTATTTATTTTTTTTTTTTAAAGATTTTATTTATTTATTTGACAGAGAGAGATCACAAGTAGACAGAGAGGCAGGCAGAGAGAGGGAGGGAAGCAGGCTCCCTGCCGAGCAGAGAGCCTGATGCGGGACTCGATCCCAGGACCCTGAGATCATGACCTGAGCCGAAGGCAGCGGCCTAATCCACTGAGCCACCCAGGCGCCCACAAGTGCTATTTTAATACCACGATAAACTTGATCTAGTAAGGACCAATACAATCAAGAGCACTCATTTTTCCAACACTGGGCATATCTCGAACTAGAAAAGTCACCTCAACTGACTCCAGAAACACTAATGCCATGCAAAATCACGTTCACTTACCAAAGTATACAAATCTCCACCTCAAGTTTTGCTTCCCAGAGAATCAGCCTCCAACAACCACATGAGCAGGCGAAGGGTTTTGGTTTTGTTTTTTAACGTGGTAAAATATCACAAAGACAATAGCAAACATGACTATATAAAACAATTACAAAAAATAGCAAGCAGCCAGAAAATGAAGATTAATGCACAGATGGAAAACTCTCTATCAAAATTTTTAAAAAATGGGATAAACAATAAAAACATTCAGATACTATAGCGATGTGACTAACCCCAAGGCCGACTTCCACCGCTGATTTTGCTAGCTTGAGTCAGAGATAACGCTGGCCATAATCATTCTCCTGAGCAGAATTTCTCCTAGCAGAATTTCTCAGAAGCTCTGTCCTTTCCTGATGAACAGGAACAGATTTGGCTGCAGGATCTTTCATCCCTTTCTTTCTTTAATGCAATCGGGAAGCAATAAGCAAAAAGGAAAAAAAGCACACCTAAGGACGGTAGAGTGAAAAAGGCAAAGCACCTGATGTCTCTGTCCGTATCCCTGAGTCGCAGCACCAGCCCTGATGGGCCGATGCAGACTCACTGTGGCATCAAATAAACCCATGAATTCTGTTATTTGCAGCCCAACAGATACAGATACCAATAAAATGTGAGCAAAAGGCATGAACAGAATGCACAGAGAATGAAGATTAGTTGATAAACATAAGGGGGAAAACATGCAACCTCATTTGTAATTAAAAAAAATCAAATTAAATAATTATGTATTATTTTCTGCCCAGCATGGGTGTGATTAAAAAGGACACTCCCATTGGGCCCCTGGGTGGCAAAGTTGCTTAAGTGACAAACTCCTGATTTCAGCTCAGGTCATGATCCCAATGTTCTGGAATCCAGCACTGTGGGGTGGCTCCCTACTCAGCAGGGAGCCTGCATCTCTCTCTCCCTCTGCCTCTCCCCCCTGCTCATGCCCTCTCTTCCTCTCTCAAATAAATAAAACCTTTTTAAAAAGTAAAGATAAAATCTTTGAAAAATAAAACAAAATTCCTTTGCATGGAATATAAATTAGTATGTTTTTATGGGGAGACAATTTGGATATACATACATATACACACCTACATGTGTGTAGGTCTACAAATAGATATATATTCTTAAGGTATGTATGTATTCTTTTCATTTTTATTAAATATTTATTTTAGAGAGAGAGAGAGAGATGTGCATGAGCAGAAAGGGCAGAGCGAAAGAGAATCTCAAGTAGACTCCACGCTGAGCACGGAGTTTGACAAGGGGCTTGATCTCATGACCTGAGCTGCAACAAAGAGTGGGACACTTAACCGACTATGCCACCCAGGCACCCCAAGTATACATGTATTCTTAAAAATATTCTAGCCATTTACCTGGTAAATCTACATCTAGAAATCATCCCATTAAAATAACCCTAACAGGGGCACCTGGGTGGCTCAGTGGGTTAAAGCCTCTGCCTTAGGCTCAGGTCATGGTCTCAGGGTCCTGGGATCGAGCCCCGCATCGGGCTCTCTGCTCAGCAGGGAGCCTGCTTCCCCCCTCCCTCTCTCTCTGCCTGCCTCTCTGCCTACTTGTGATCTCTGTCTCTGTCAAATAAATAAATAAAATCTTAAAATAAAATAAAATAACCCTAACATTGGGGTGCCTGGGTGGCACAAGTCGGTTAAGCACCCAGCTCTTAATTTCAGCTCATGTCATGATCTCAGTGTTGTCAGATCAAGCCATGTGTCAGCTCCATGCTTGGCATGAAGTCTGCTTAAGATTCCCTCCCTGTCACTCTGTCCCTCTGCCCCTCCACCCACTCCTCCTCTCTCTTTCAAAATAAGTAAAATAATAATGATGATCCTGAACATCAAAAAATCCTATTTAAGGGGCGCCTGGGTGGCTCAGTGGGTTAAAGCCTCTGCCTTCTGCTCATGTCATGATCTCAGGGTCCTGGGATCGAGCCCCGCATCGGGCTCTCTGCTCAGCAGAGAGCCTGCTTCCCTCTCCTTCTCTCTCTCTGCCTGCCTCTCTGCCTACTTGTGATCTCTGTCAAATAAATAAATAAAATCTTTATAAAAAAAATCCTATTTAAAATAATGAAAAAAATTGAGAAAGAAGTTAACTGTGATATCTCTACTAGATAGATTAACACTACCATTTAGAATCTTAGCTTTCGGGGCACCTGGGTGGCTCAGTGGGTTAAGGCCTCTGCCTTCGGCTCGGGTCATGGTCTCAGGGTCCTGGGATCAAGCCCCGCATCAGGCTCTCTGCTCAGTGGGGAGCCGCTTCCTCCTCTCTCCCTGCCTGCCTCTCTGACTACTTGTAATCTCTATCAAATAAATAAATAAATAAAATCTTAAAAAAAAAATCTTAGCTTTCAAAAACATTGTAAAATGTCTAAGAACAGCAAATGAAAAATCAGGAACATTGTATAAGAACTGCAATAAATAACCTCTCCATATAAGCAAGGTCAATGAAATACATCAAATTTTAAATAAGTGTTATGGGGTAAGTAGATTGACAAAAGGAATCTTTTTTATAGTCTATTTCATTTCCAAATTTTGTTTTTTTTTTTCCCCCTAAAGATTTCATTTATTCAACAAATAAAGAGAGAGAGAATGCGTGCTCAAGAGTGTGCAAACATTGGGGCGCCTGGGTGGCTCAGTGGGTTAAGTCTCTGCCTTTGGCTCAGGTCATGATCTCAGGGTCCTGGGA